ACAAAGGCTCCACGGGGTCCCCATCTGGTGCCTCTGTCACCACCTTCCCGTCTACTCCTTGATGAAGTCCTGCTGATGTTTGCTTGATCCTTGTGGATCCAGGATGTGGGAGTTTCCGTGCTAAAACCGAGAAAGTCCCAAGCAAATCGGGAGAGGCTGGTCACCCTACTTTGAACCTATGGTTTGAGCTTGTCAGCTTTGAGCTGCACTGGAGGGGACCTGGCTGGCACATTTTGGGGAGCCTCTCCTGCCAAGAGTAAGACTTTCCCTCGGGCCAGTCAGAAGCCCCAGAGAAGCGACTTCCTGCCTTCTTCCTGGAAATCTAAACCTGTCTGCCCAGGTCCTGGGAGCCCTCAGAATGCAGAGTTCAGACAGCCCTTAACCTTCTGGACTCTGGCATCTGCGTCCCCGGTCCCTCTCCCAGCCCCAGTGCGTCAGCTTTGCCCACTCCCAATTTTACAGGAAGGTACCGCAATGCCAAATAGCGCCGTACTTTCACAACACTGAGGGGGTGAGGACAGGAGGGACTTTCTCCTTTGTGTCCCCACCCCCTTCAGCAAAGACAGTCTTTCCAGAAATCCCCAGCACACTTCTCCTTGGTCACTATCTCATTGGTCAGGGCTCGGTCACTGGACTACACTTGGACAGTCATCGGCAAACACCGTAGGAGGACAAAACTGGCTTCAACTGACTGTGAGCCTTTCGGTCTGTTTGCACTCATTGATCCTGGAACATCAGGTTTGTTCAGCAAGACAGGTAGGGACGTGAGTGTGGGTAGGCCACCAGAAGGGCTGCCTGTCAGCACATATTAGCACAGCATTGATCGAAGTCCCAGGTGGGGTCTAGGGACTAATGTTCCAAAGGCTTCTTGCCCCTTTCAGTGCCCTGAACCTCTCCGCTTTGAGCTTCACTGCAAGGGGACCTGGTTGGGCCAACGAAGAGAAAGACTGTAATAAAACCGAGCAATCCAACACCTGGTGGACAGGGTTTGCCTGGCTGTATGAGGAGCCTCCTTCTGCGAAGGAATTCATCTAAAGGAAGGAGGGGTTGATCCCATCACTGTGTCAGCTGCCATTTATTCAACACCTACCATGTGCCGGTCATGGTGGTAAGGGCCAAGACACAGTGCTGCCCAGGACAAATGTAGAGAGGAAGCAGCTGTCACTCCGCTCACCTTCCGTCCCAGTGCCCACAGACTCAAAGGGCATCCAGGAGAGAGGTCGGACCTCCCGGAAGGAGGAACTCGGCAGGGCAGTTTCTATAAAAGCAGGATGAGCTCCCAGCAGCCCTGCGTCCGAGCCTGAATGAAAACGCACAGACAGCACAAGTGGGGACAGAGGGGATTTATCTGCTGTGGCATTTGTGGAGACCTGAATGGACACAGTGGCCTGAGTACCACACCTGCCCAGAGAACTCTAGAAGAAGTGGCCGGCTTTGGGGAGTAGAGAGGGGGACATCAATAGGTGAAGCCCTGAGCAGAGCCAGCCCCAGAAAAAAGGAAATAGCAGAGCCCAGGTATTCACAAGGCAAGTGAGAGCTCCCTGGACCCTCCCAAAACCAGTCAAGAGGAATTTAAAGAGGTCTGGATTCTTTTAGGTCCACCAGGGGTGACTCTACACTGCTGCTGTGACCCTTTTTTATCCACATGTTGGCACATGGGGCTGAAACATGGATCCCAGAATTAGAATAGGAGCCCCCCAATTGAAGTTCCCTCTTCTCCGATGCTGCTGCCTCTCTAAATTTTTTGACTTTGTTATTATACAAACTTTCAACACATACCAAGCTAGAGAAAACAGTATAATGAGGTCCTATGTACCCATCACCCAGCTTCAAAAATTATCACTCCATGCCAATCTTGTCTCATTTATCCCACCTCCTCCCAATGTTATTTTGAGGTTAATATGAGATTTTACATCATTTTGTCCATAAATATTTTGGTATTTATCTAAAACAGAAAGGATTTAAAAAAATATGTAACCACAATACCATTATCACATTAAAAAATGAATAAGTTCTTAATATCATTGAATACCTAGCAGTGTTCCAATTTTCCAATTGTCTCATGAATGTTTTATGCTCTCTACAGTTTGTTTCAGAATCCAAATATGGTCTACACAGTCTATAAATGTTAAAGTTCTGGGAAACTTTGGATTGAAACAAAAGCCAGAACAAAATTGGACTTTCCTATCCCTACTTTATGTTTTATAACATTGCAATAGTGGAGAGAGTATTTTTTTCCTTATTAAAAAAACACCTTTCAAAGTCTATGTTAGTAACAGGAAAGCTATTTTCACAGGCCCCAGGTTTCTAGCCTCCTAACTAGAAGCACTTGGCAATGGGGCTGCCCAGCAATGTTGGCAGGCCAGTTGTCTCCCACAGGGGTCCGTCCGGAGTGCAGTGTTCCTCCTGCAAATGCCACCTGCTCTCAACACCTCCTCCGAGGCCCGGTTAAGTCAGAGTACCAGAACAGCCGCCAGGGGGCTCCCAAGGCACTTGATGGACTTGGGGGTTACCCCAAAAGCCAACTTGGCATGTTTCATCACAGACTGAACATGCCAAGATAGGACCTGTCTGCTTGCTTAGATTGGATTCTGCCTGCAGAATAGACCAGACCTCAAGAAGACGTGGCTCATTCCCCAAGACTGGCTGGAAACGGACAAGCTTAGCTGTCAATTGCCCTGACAGACGATTTGAGGTTCGCAGCCATCTCCGCCCCCCAGTGGTCTTCCTTGGGATCCACTCGGAGGCGAAGAGCATGCGCAGAGATGGGGAGCATTCTGTGCTAAGCATCTCGTACCTCCATGATTGCGCATAAACCCTTCAGTTATTAAGTATGCAAAGAAAGCATTATTATAAGTGATGATAGACATCTATAAGTAGGATAGTTAACATAAATTACACACCAGGAAGGAACACAATTCTGACAACATGGACATGCTCTTACAAGTCTCTCCCATCTCTACGCCTCATTGCTGGAAACCAAGGGGCTTGGGATAGAAGCTACTGGCTAAGACCTCTTCCTTCTCTGTTAAACAGTTTGTTGAGGGATTGTATTCGTTTGCTAGGGCTGCTGTAACGCAGAACCACAAACCAGAGCAATGTTTTGTCCCACTGTTCTGGAAGGCTGAAAGTGCTCAGTCAACATGCCAGCGGGGCTGCCTCGGAGGGCTCTGGGAAGAATCCTTCCTTGCCTCTTCCAGCTTCTGTGTCTGCAGCAGTCCTTGGTATTCCTGGGCTTGGAGATAGCTCTGTTCTCCCTGGGTGTCTTCATATTACCTTCTCTCTGTGTGTATCTGTCTCTGTGTCCAGACTGCCCCTTTTTATAAGGACACCAGTCAAAACAGATTAGGGCAACCGTACCTCACCCCATGACCTCATTTTAACTTGATCACCTCTGTAAAGACCCTACCTTCGAATAAGGCCCCATTCTAAGGTACTAAAGGAATTTGGACTTTATATTTTTTGGAGACACAATTCAACCCATAACAGGGACCATATTGCAGAACAATGTTCGGGAGGCCTGTAATGGCAAACCCACGAATTGTGCAGACTGGTGTTTACACCATCCTGGAGTTACAAGTCTACAAAAGTATCACAATAACACAAAAGCAACTACGATATAAAAAGCCACATGCTGTGATTTTACTAAGAAAAGCAAGCGCTTTAACCCAAATTACATTAAATTCACTACATTTGATCAAGGACCTGAATGTAAGTCATGAAACCATAAAACTCATAGAAGAAAACATAGGCAAAAATCTCTTTAATGTAAACATGAGCAACTTTTTCCTGAGCACATCTCCTCAGATAAGGGAAACAAAATAAAAAAATGAACAAATGGGACTACATCAGACTAAAAAGCTTCTGTAAAGCAAAGGACACCATCAGTAGAACAAAAAGGCATCCTGCAGTATGGAAGAATATATTCGTAAATGACATAGCCAACTAGGGGTTAACATCTAAAATATATAAAGAACTCTTAAGCCTCAACACCCAAAAAACAAATAAACTGATTAAAAAATGGGCACAGGACCTGAACAGACACTTCTCCAAGGAAGAAATACAGATGGCCAACAGGCACATGAAAATCTGCTCCACATCGCTAATCATCAGGGAAATGCAAATTAAAACCACAATGAGATATCACCTCACACCAGTTAGGATGGCCAACATCCAACAGAAAAGAAACAACAAATGCTGGCGAGGATGTGCAGAAAGGGGAACCCTCCCACACTGCTGGTGGGAATGCAACTGCCGTGGAAAGCACTATGGAGGTTCCTCAAAAAACTAAAAATAGAAATACCATTTAACCCAGTAATTCCACTCCTAGGAATTTACCTGAAGAAAACAAAATCCATGATTCAAAAAAGACATATGGACCCCTATGTTTATCACTGCACTATTTACAATAGCCAAGATATGGAATCAACCTGTCTATCAATAGATGAATGGATAAAGAAGAGGTGGTACATATACACAATGGAATATTATTCAGCCATAAAAAGAAAAGAAATCCTCCCATTTGCAACAACATGGATAAACCCTCAGGGTTTTATGTCAGTGAAATAAGCCAGGTGAAGAGAGACAAATACCAAGTGATATCACTCATTTGTGGAGTATAGAAACAAAGCAAAACAGAAGGAACAAAATAGCAGTCGACTCATAGACACCAAGAAGGCACTGGTGGTTACCAAAGGGGAGGAGTGGGGCAGGGTGGGGGGAGAGGGAGAAGGGGATGAAGGGGCACAATAATTTGAAATCATAATATAGTTTGGTCAAGAATACAGTTAATGACTCTAATACCTTACTATGGTGATGGACAGTGACCACACTGGAGTGGGGTGAGGACCTGATAATATGGGTGAGTATTGAACCACTGTGTTGTATGTTTGAAACCATCCTAAGATTGTGTATCAGTGATACTTTAATAAAAAAGTTCGCTACATCACTACATTTGATTTTTTCCTATGATCACTGATAGAGAAAATACAGGACAAGACCCAAAAAAACCCAGATTTTTTTTTTTGCTAAGAACATACATCGAGGCTGACTATTGTGCTATAAGTAGATTATCACAGAATTCTTTAATATAGTAAACGCTCAGAACACTCCTCTAAACACTCAGAACTCTTATATATTAAACACAGAGAACTCGTACAGCTTAAACATTTGCAAAATCAGATTCACACCCTTTTCCAAGAACACGAACATTCCTTCCATAAATGAGGCCGCCCCCGTTTTTGCGCATCACCACCAGCAAAGGGCTGTCCACTCCTTCTTGGCCCTGCAGGCCTGGTCCCAGCTGCCTGTCTCAGCCCCTGACACGGCTTCTCAGTGAGCAGCCTCAGGGCCGGCCCGGCGATGCCGGTCAGCAAACAGCGTCCTGAGAAAAGAGAGAACTGGAGAGAAAGAGGGGCACAGTAGCACCATCTTACCATGAGATTCCTATTGTTTTGGACCTTAAAGTCTGCCATCCTGACTGTACGAAATGGATCCGTAAGACAAACAGCCCTAGACATTAAAACGAAATTAAGGCATTTTCCTGAAGGCTTCCCTCTAATGACACAAAGAACAACAGGCTCCTAAGAACACCAACTACGGGGCTTTAGCAGAGCCAGCAGGCTGCTATTTGGCTCCAGAAGAGGGTTGGTGAAGGGGTGAAGGGGGTGCTGACTCACCATGTTGGTGTCTGTGTATGAATAAGCGTTTCCTGCGTCCACGGTAGCGGGTGGTGAGGGCAGGGGGCGCCGAGCAGCAAGCCTAACTGATGCTGGCAGGTCACTCCAGCGACGGCAAGAAGGCGGCAGGTTCACCAGTCTTGGGCCGAAGGGGCACCGATGGTGGAGCCACGAGCCCTCCCTGGGCCTGTGAGGACACCGTGTCATCACCGCCCTCCCTGGCTCTGCGCCCGAGGTGGTGAACTTCTGTGGGGGGCTTGATTCATTATAATTTTTAAGAGAATGTATGTGCCAAAAAACCCAAGACCGGAAACAAACCCAACTTCCCCCTGCAGGCACATGAACCAATACGACACGCCCCTGCTATTGCCTTTGGACTCAGTCTACTTCTATGGGCTTTCAGCCCTTAAGCACAAACATCCCAGGTATAAAACAAGGTGCAAAGTGCTTTCGCTGGACTGGTTCTGGTTCAAAAGGCAGCAAGAGAGCTGCTGGGCTTTGGGAGGAGGCAGTTAACGTTGCTGGGCCTCAGACCCTCCATCTGTCAATCAAGGGGTTGCATTTGGTCCATGCTAGGTCCCTTTCAGGACAAATATTCTATAGCTTAGCACATCTTCTAAAACTATGTTGCCCCATGTGACAGCCACTTGTGGCCCTCTGATTTAAATTAATTAGAATTAAATCCAGTGAGAAACCCCTCTCTGAACAGGACTTGTCGCTATCAGTAGTGGGTTGAATAGCTGGTCTCCCAGAGGATATATCCACCTGGAACCTCAGAATGTGGCCTTATTTGGAACAAGCATCTTTGCAGACGTAATTAAGGTCAGGAATCAAGACAAGGCCATCCCAGGTTAGGGTGGGCCCTAAGTCCAGAGACAGGGTCCTCATAAGGGACACAGAGGAGAGACACAAGGGAGAGGCCGCATGAAGATGGAGGCAGGGATTGGAGCAGTTCTCCTATGAGCCAGGGAGCCACAGGGCCCTGGGAGGAGGGAAGGAGGGCCCCTGTCTCAGAGCTGCCATGGAAAGCACTATGGAGTTTCCTCAAAAAACTAAAAATAGAAATACCATTTAACCCAGTAATTCCACTATTTACAATAGGCAAGATAAGGAAGCAACCTAAATGTCCATCAGTAGATGAATGGATAAAGAAGATGTGGTACATATACACAATGGAATATTATTCAGCTATAAGAAAAAAACAGATCCTACCATTTGTAACAACATGGATGCAGCTAGAGGGCATAATGCTCAGTGAAATAAGCCAGGTGGAGAAAGACAAGTACCAAATGATTTCACTCATCTGTGGAGTATAAGAAAAAAGGAAAACTGAAGGAACAAAACAGCAGCAGAATCACAGAACCCAAGAATGGACTGACAGTTACCAAAGGGAAAGGGACTGGGGAGGACGGGTGGGCAGGGAGGGATAAGGATGGGGAAAAAGAAAGGGGGCATTATGATTAGCATGTATAATGTGGGGGGGGGCATGGGGAGGGCTGTGCAACACAGAGAAGACAAGTAGTGATTTTACAGCATCTTACTATGCTGATGGACAGTGACTGTGAAGGGGTATGTGGGGAGGACTTGGTGAAGGGGGGAGCCTAGTAAACATAATGTCTTTCGTGTAATTGTAGAGTAATGATACCAAAATAAAAATTTAATAAAAAAGAATGTCAAAAAAATGATAATAATAATTTAAGCCAATACTAAGGATCCAAAAGAACTCTTATTCATTAGAATGGGTCCATATGTTATCAAAGTTTGAGGACTATGTTGCAGGAGATGATGAGAAGGGACCACAGGGACAGGAGTCAGATGGTCAGAAGATAATTCTGGCAACTCAACAGAATCCGAATGAACTGAACACAAACAGCCCAGGCTGCACTGGCTTGACTGAGAGATGGAAAGCGTTTCAGCCATCGAGATCCCTTCTCCTCCTCCCGAGAGTCTCAGTTACACGCTTCTGCCCCAAATGTCCTCTCATAGACATGCTTTTCTAAAGGTCATCAGGTGGACATATGCTCTCTATAAATGTAATCCATAACATCCATTTTTAACCCATAACCTCCTCTGTCCACCTACTAACCGATCTTGGTATCTTAAAATGGGGTTGGGGTTGCGTACCTAGAGCATCCTGTAATTGTGACTGGCTGACGGCAGCACAGGTGTGGAAGATAAATCGCTGAAGAATGAACCAAAGGGGGTGTTTGCCACCTGGATTCACAGAAATGTCATCTACTCGCAGGCCAGCGACTACCAGTGCAGACTGTCCACTGTGCCGACAATAACACAGATTTGGTCTATCTTCTAAGTCACCCGAAGCCACTCCTCTAAGTACAACACACAGTAGCCAATGATTCTTGAGCCAGGAATACTGTGGCGTCTGCTGCCACATCCTGGGGGGCCTGTGCCAGGCCAGGGAGAGCGGTTGTTTGTATTCTTGGTCTTTGGCAACAGTTCAGGGTCCTTGTTCACCAGGTCTGAGCCATGTTAGGGGGTGGAGAGGCTGCAGATTTTTCTTCCATATGCTGCATTTGTACATAAACCAGTGTAAAAATCTAAAGCAGAATATGAGGAGGGGAGGGGTTGTTTTCTTCAAGGATATAGACAAATGGATGTTTCCGAGTCACTATCAGTCATTCATCAACCACTCCACTAAATAAAAGCCCTTCTGTGCACACGGTTTTTGTGCATACTGTGTTTTAAAGAGACACAATGTGAACCCATGAGCAATGCCCCATGCTGCATCCGTGTCCTTCCTGACCGGCAGACACGACCCAGCCCACCAGGTGTGCTGTGTATGTCAGAGCGACCATGGAGAACAGGGTCGGCAGGGAGTCGGTCCACCCCAGCACAGCCTGTCCCCGTGGGAAAGGAAAGGCGCCGTCACAGCTCATTTGGGCCATTGTGTGTTCACCTCCTTTTCACTAACTTGGGTTTTTTGTGTTATTACCATCACTTTAGGTGTCAATGTGTAAACTTCTATCAGTGCCAAGTTTGGCTACCATAGGAGGTTTAGATGAGTGCTTATGAGGGTTTAGGGTTGGGGGGTTGGGGGGAGGGGATGTGTGGCCATGAGGAGGTAGCCCAGGGAGATCTGTGTGGTGACAGGGGAGTTCCATGCCTTGATTGTGGTGCTGGTTACACAAATCTACACACGTGATAGAATTGCACGAAACTATTTACACACAAAAGTGAGCACACATGAAACTGGTGGGTCTAAGGTCTGTGGACTGTGCCAGTGTCAGCGGCTTGGTGGTAATAATGTACCATAGTTAGGTAACATGTTACCAGCAAAGAAACCTGGGTCAGAGTTGAAAGAAAAAAGAGAGGACAATGCTCTCACCCACTCCTAACCTCTCGTTCTGTTCCCTAACCAAATAAGGCTCCCTGATTGGTTCAGCCCCAAAATAATGAGAGGCCCTCCAGCACACAACCTATACTGGGGCTGCACACTAGTCCCTGGAGGCATAACATGACAGAAGGAGTGGGAGAATGGAAACGTTTCCCGCTCAAAGAATAGCCCCATGAGTTAAATTCCATTACTGGGCTCAGCTCAAGGTCTTAGATTGTCTGTTGCCTGTATCACCTTACTTGAACTTTTAGACCCAGGCCCTCCGAGGATCCCTCTTGCTTCTCTGTTCCAGTTCTCAAGCTGCTGTGATGACATCTGCATTAAACTGAACTAGCATCTTAGCAGCCTGCATCTTGGGTCTAAAGAGATGCTCTCCCCTCCTTGGGTCTCAGGTTCTGGCTATAGGGAAGAAAGGTAGTTCCTTAGAGGCTGTCCGTGAGCCCCCTCTTAGGCTAGGATGCCCTTCCGCCGTCACTCATAATGCACACTGCCTTATCTCATGCTAGCACATGCCATATGCCCCGGCTGCCTCCAGCTTGGAATCTGTGTACTTAGCTTTGGCTGCTAAAGGTTTGCCTTTGATCCACTCATCCCTTCTACACTGTTTCTCCAGCTCATTGTTTCTAACTGTGCTCTAGCTCCATGCTCCCTGGTCCTGCCCTGGCCCTTGGAGTAGTTCCCAAATGCTCCGTCTTCACCTTTGCTCACGCCCATTTTCTCCTTGGGCACCATGTAACCTAGACTACACTGAAGTACTTCTTTAATGGCACTCTGTTGTAATCTGCAACTGCGTGGGGACATTTTCAGGGGAATACCATGACTTCAATCTACAGGAAAAATAGCCCCTGTATATCCATTCCTTCTAGTTAAGCCTTATCTCCTGTTGCTACCATCAGCAACACAAGATTTTCCAAGGACCAGGGCCTCTTTGTTAACATCCAAGTGAGATACCCACAAGACCTAGGCAAACGAAGGTAGGGCTTAGCAGAAGGGACTGGGGCCTGGCATTGTACCCTAATGGTGCAAGAGAATCTCTGCTCCTTCCTCCATTAAGAAGCAAATTTGCCTTCATTCCCTTATTTATTGATGTCTTCAGTGATTTAAGAACCAGGTGCTGGGGATTCAGAGGTGAGCAAGCCATGTGCTGCCCTCAAGGTCTTGTAGGTCAGTGGAAGCCATGTGGAAAGGTTTTATGAATCAAGGACAAGGACAGGTAGTGTTTTAGATTGCCCCAAGGGAGGATTTGAGATCAACAAGACCAGAGGCAAGATAATTAGTAAAAAGTCCAGGCAAGAGATGAGAAGGGCTTCAGCAAGGTCAGTTGGAGAGGCTAAGAGAAGAATAGCAGGAGAAATCAGCAGGGCTTGGTGGCTGAGTGGATGGGGTGGAGGGGTCAACGGGAAGAGGCGTCCAAGATGAACCCAGGTTTCCAGCTTGAGTAAGGAAGTTGAATGGTGAACTAGAATGATATCTGGTTTCTTAAAAGATCCAGGGAAGGGAAAAAAAAAAAAAAGGATCCAGGATCCAGGGAAGGAATTCTACCTGGAAGCAAAATCATAGCTTCTCTCCTTACACTTCGTTTCCTATTCTCATGGAACCATCAACTGTGACCAGAAATTCAGTCTATAGAAACCAAGATGCTTGTGCTATTAAAAATCCAACCTGCATAACTATGCCCTTCCAGAAGAGGGCCTTGCAATCTCACTGGGTGTGTTTTCCAGAGAATAAGAAGATAAGGTCCCTCTTATTCTCTAGCACCAAGAGGCATTGCTATCATACCCCAGCCCAATAAAGTCTGACCCCTGCCTGTGGCTTGGAAGAGCCTGACCCAATGGGCCACTCCCAGCCCTTACAGCGAGGTAGGGGGAAAGCTTACCTTGATCTTGAGAATGTTTGCCTGGTGGTCTGGGTGCATGAAAATGCTCAGAACGAGGCCCGCAAGGAATGGCCTGAATCAGCAGTAGGGCTTAGCGTTATACTCTGAGCAATATAACCTAGATGCATTTTCACTAAAAACACAAGATCATAAGGCAAAATGTTATGTTTATTCTGTACATGGAAAAGGGAATCCCTCAGATGTCTACTGGTGCAATCAGCAAACCCAAAGGAAAATTTGGGGTACATTTGTTCATTTCCTCAGTATGATCCACAAACAGCATGATCCTGCTTTAGGCCACAGCTGGCTTGCTAAAATGTCAAATTTCCTTGGGCCCCTTCACCCTTCGACCCCAAGGAAACATAATGACTGTATTTCACCTTAAATAATTGTTTCTGGTGGCTGGTGCAATGGAATAGCTCTAAAAATATTCTCAGAGTGTAGCTCTTAGAAAATTCAGTTGCATGGGTCATATGCCCAGAGATTCCATTCAATTGGTCTGAGACGGTGCTTGCTGGAAGCATCTGTGAGATTTAAAATCTTATGTGCATGTAGATCTGAGAACCACTGGGCTAGATGGGAGTGAGTCTCCCCCTGGCTTACCTGGTCATGCCCTCAAGACCGATAACAGGACCAGAAGGGCGTGATGCTTCCTGGTCAAAAGACCTGGGTGTAGTCATTCATTAGTTTATTTATTGATTCTATTCACCAATACATATTGAGCACTTAGGTGCCAGGCACAGTTCTGAACTACTTGACATCAGGTGGTCCATGAAGGGTGCTCTGAGAATGTGATGTTTGCACAAACACCTGTAGAAAGTGAAGGAGCAGCCCTGCCAAAGACCAGATTCTAAAGGAAAAGCATTCTAATAATGTGCAGGAATAGCAAGTACAAAGGCCCTGAGGAGAGATCATGAAGGGATGTTGAGGTGGTGGGGCCAGTGTGGCTGGTCCAGAGCCAGCAAGCAGGGGATTGACAGTTGAGGTCAGACAGATACTCTACCTCCAGAGCAATGGATGGCCATTGGAAGAATTTGAGCAGCTGACCGACCAGATCTGATTTTCATTTGTATCACTCTGCGTGCTGCACTGAGAATAGGTTAGCAGGAAATCACACCAGTTTTTCCTATATAATTCAGGGGTGGTTAAAGGAAGAACTGTTATATACATACCTCACTGGGGAGGTCAAAGAGCATAGTGGGTGAAGTCCTAGGTAGGTAACAGCAACTTCCTTAAATTTCAGTGACTCCACCCAGTAACAGAACTTCCAAGCAGCAGTTTGCCACTGGAAAAGAAACACAATACAGCCACGTGGGGGCACTCCTTTCCTCTGAGAAGCACTTCAATAGGCAACAGTGAATTCCTGTGCACTCAGAGAAGACCCCCAGCGCAAATTAAAAGGCCCAGAAGTTTGGAAACAAAAATGCAATCAACTTTCCCATCCAGGCCAAACATTTCCCACCCAGTTTTTCCAGGAACTGAAGCACACAGTACAAATAGCCTGGCAGTCATTCAGCCCCTCTCCCTGGGAGGTCCTGGCCATTCTAGGAGCAGGCAGGGGACAGAGCAGGGCAGGCTGGCGACCGTGGTTACCTTGCATCTGATGGAGCTGCGACTGGAAGGTTATAAGGCAGAGTGAGCAGAGCATTGGCAGAGTAAGAAGCCAAGAACAGCACGGTGCTGAGGAAGGCAGGGACGCGTTTACTTCTGCAAAGAAGAGAGGACATTGACAGGAGCTCTCTTTAGTTTCCTTCAGCTCAAAATCTGTGGCCACAAGACTTGAAATCTTGGCGACTGGAGGCATTTCCTGCTAGGTCCTTCTTTGAGAGAGGCTAATGGTGCGGCGGCTGTGGCAGAGTGGGGGGAGATCTGGGCCTGGCAGAGGACCTGAGTTAGCCTTTAGACTTGATCCTTTACAAGCTGTGTGGTCCTGTGCAGATCAAAATCAGACCGTGCTTGGGAATGTCCCTTGCCACACGTGAAGCACTATGCAGACATATGTGGTGATTAATTTAGGAGAGAAATGACCATGAGGCACAGGTGAGATACAGGGGAGGGTATAGCAAAAGAGGAGGGATCCTCCCCATCCGGATGCAGAGCCCGAGACATGTATTCAGGTGCAGGTAGTTCATGCGGGGGTAGAAACGAGGGATGGGGTGTGGGACAGAGAAGCAGGGAAAGCCAATATAAGGATGCACTATCAAGGCGACCAATGCTCAAGTCTTCCAGAATGTTCTATGGAACCTTGTGAAATGCAACTGAAAACTATCCTGGGCGATGAAAAAGAAAAGCATTTTCCTACCATCTTCTATCCACTGTGGGTCAAGGGTGGACCCACAAAAATGAATTCTCCCACACTTTCAGATGGTGCATATGTAAAGCCAAGAGGGCTCCCGAAGGGGTTCCAGCTATAATATGCAGCAGGTTCTGGGTCCGGAAAGAAGATTTAGGAACACAGGCTCAGAGCAAGGCACTGCCCAGTTGTACCTACCCAGAACTGGGAGCGTTGGTTGGGACCAAGACGATCTGCAGAGGTATAGTGGAAATGTCAGACATGGGTGCAGGACCGTAGGGCCCAACCCTCCCTGGAAGATGCCTTTGGCGATCCCATTCCACTGCTTGAGGTTTCCATGGCTCTTCATGAGGAAGGGATGGGATACCATTCCCTTATCACCACAGTGATGCAGGGAGCCAGGGATTTTCATCCAGAGTGCCAACTCCAGTTCGGTGCTGATGCTGGGAAGGCCAGAGGAGTCTTAGTGATCGATTAGTAATGTCTGCCGCAAGTGGGGGCTGGGGAGGTATGGTGACAATGCTGCCTATTTACTGGGCCTTTTGTCAGGCCCTCTAGCTCTGTCTCCCTTGAATCACTGGCATGCTTAACAAGTGCGTTCTCTGAAGGGAAAAAGCCCTACTCCTTATACCTCCCTCCATTTAGAAGCTAATGCAATCGCACAGTTACAAGCTTGTTGTAGCTGAGATTGAAATTCATCTTCCACGACAGCTTCTGGGGAAGATGCTGACGCTGGGGCCAGGGCTTCCCAGTCACAAGGACACTCGAGTGGGCTCCCACCAGGCCAGCGTGGGGAGGTACTAAGAACTCATTGTCCTGTGTGGGTGGTAAACCATCCAGTCAGGCCATCCAATAAAAAAAACCCACATCCACCCAAAGAAATATTTGTTCAACTCCCTGATGGAACAGAGCCGATCCACAGCACCTCCTCCCAGGGGTCAGCCCAGCCTCCGCGAGCTAACCGCCACTACAGTGAAACTAGCAAGCCTCCCGCTACACACTGGGCTGGGCTGGAGAGGGACCCCCACATTCTAGCCCCCAGTGCCTCAGAATGTGAGTCTATCCAGAGACAGGGTCTTTAAAGATATAATTAACGTAAGATGAGGTGACGGGGATGGGCCCTAATCCAGTATGACCAGTGTTCTTGTTAGAAGAGACTGGGACACAGACACCCACAGAGGGAAGACCAGGAAAATGCGCAGGGAGAAGACAGCATCTGAAGCCCAGGAGAGGCCTCGGAAAGCCAAGCCTGCCAGCTCCTCGGTCTCAGGCGTCCGCCTCCGGAACCACGAGGAGGGGAGTGTCTGCTGTTTGGGCCGCTCAGCCTGCGGCACTGCGGCACGGCAGCCTGTGCAAACCAATGCACGGCGGCACCAGAACGCCCAGGCAGGGCGGGAGAGGCACCCCCGGCCTTCTCTCCTGTTCGTCCTTTGTCTCCGCCCCCCAGCCCCTGGGCTCTAATCAGGACCTCTGGCCACGACACACCCCATGCTCTCAAGAGTGTTGGTCCCTCAGAAAGGCCCATTTGGGGGCCATAGGCCCAAAGAAGGAAGGACTAGCAGAGATTCTCCCTCTGGTCTGAAAAGACCCTGGGCTGCCCCAGAGGCCTCTGTCAGCCCCCAGCATCCCAGCCAGGACTCCAGCATGATTTCTCTTGTCATTTTCCCATAAATACCTAGACCAGCTCTCAGAGGATCCTGCTGCAAATGCCACCTCTGAGGAAGCCTCTGGAAGCCTGCCCTTTCCCCCCTGCCAAGGCCACCGGGCCTGCCGAGGCCTCGCACCTGCCCACCTATACCTGCAGGCACTTGCCTCCATCTCCAGAGCCCTTCCGGCAGCCATAGTCCATCAGAACCGAGGCCTGTGAGGGCCCCAGATGGCCTCTGCAGGGCCCAGCTGCTTCCCCACCCTGAGGGCACCTTAGGGTCTGGCTGCCTTCCAGGGGAATGTCCCTGGGGAGCCCCTGTGGGCCTGAGGGGGGCGCTGCACCTGCTCAGGCAGCCCCTCCCCTGGCTGCAGAAGGGATCATAGCTGGGGTGCTCTGTGCAAGCAGCCCCGTCTCTAAGCGGCTGGAAAGAAGGCTCGCTCAGTAAACAAGACACCTTTATCTGCTCCGGGCCTTCCTGGTCTGACTCTGTGGGTGGGGGGGTGGGGGTAGCACATATTTGGAAGTCAGCTCCACCCCGTAGTAATCAAAGACTTACAGGAATTTGTGAGAAATTAATCTTTCTTATATATCAAAATACCTTGATTATTGCATTTGTTTTGTTTTATTATTTATTCATTTATTTATTATTTATAATATGTATTCCATATTGGCTACATGTAATTAGATGGCCAGAGGACTGAATATTGATACAACCATTAAGGAAAGGAATTTGTGATTATGCTTCAAGAACCAAAAGACATTCATACCCTTTAACCCAGTAATCCCTCTTAAAGACATGCATCGTAAAGAAATATTAGAGCTGGAGACAAATGGTTACCTTGAAAACGTTTTTCAGAGTGTTATTTATTAAAGTATAAAGTTGGAAATAATTCAAGTTTTTAGCAATAGAGGAAGGTATAAGTAAACACTGGAATGGAATTTTGTGCAGACATTAAAACTGTTTACTTAAAAAATAAAATAGGAAATGCTTATGTCATAAAACTATTAAAAGAAAGATACTAAATTGTATATGAAGAATCCTCTCAAGTATAAAAAAACTACACAGAAAAAAAGATCAGAAATTTAAACACCAAAATATGGACAGTGAATTCACCTCTACTTGAGTGAGGAAATGAATCTAGGGTGATTGTTTTCTACTCTTTATCCTAGTATTTTCCAATGTTTCTTAAGTTGAATATGCATTTTAGCAAGAAAGAATAATAAATCCTTTAAAATATGATATAGATAATCCACATCCTGGGTCACCTACCTAGTAACCTAGTAAACTAGAAATCTTTCCATGAATTATTGAGACCTTAGAGCTCTTCTAAAACTAAAAAAAATTAAGATGATAAATAGCCATGTTGGAAAGCAGGTATACTGATGTATTGCTTGGGGCGATGTAAATTACCCCACTCTTTCTGGAAAGTAATCTCACAATATGTAACAAGCAACACAGAATTGTTGCTACCCTCTGACCTAGTAATTCCACCTGGAAATAGGTCCCCAAGGAAATAAATAAGAGGAAAAAGTAGTGTGTTCAAAGCATTCATTGAGGTGCCATTTATAATCATGAAAAATTGGGAACAATAGATGCCGAACCGTAACTGCGGCATATAAATCCTAAACCCGACAAGTATGGAGGTCATGTCAGTACATGGAAATGTTTATAAGCACAGTTAAATGGAACAAGCCGAGGCTGTGTATTACAGACACACTGACTGTAACTCTGCAGAGCCTCAGGCTGGTTTGTGTAGGACAGAGATTGGAGGAGAATGTGGAAGAAGGGGAAAGGTGCTCCGTCCAGCACTGGAGCAGTCTCTACAGGGCCACAGGGGTAGAGACACTTGTCCCCGTGACACTCACGTTCCATGGATGAAGACGATGGCCGACGTGGTGAGATAGATGTGAAAGTCATTGGCAAGGTACCCCGTGCAGCTGCTGCACTGAAAAGAGAGGAGCAGAGGCGATATCCTTCCTTCATGTACCACGTCAGCTCCATACTGTCTCTCCTTCCTGGACCCAGAGGGAGAATTCAGGAGGTGGCAGGGGATTTCCATGGAAAAGGAAAGGATTTTGAATTACAGAGATTTCATCTGATCTTTGCAACAAGCCTGGGTGCTAGCAATTACTATTACCATTTTATAAAATGGAAGTTCAGACAAGTTTTCTCTTGTTTAAAAAAACAAAAATGGTTCATCCACCAGGAGAGCTGTGGGAAGTGGATTCTATCACGTGACATTAAGATGTGGCTGGAGTCAGAGGGCTGGATGTTCCACTTCCTTGCCTGCCTGCCCATCCCCCAAAACTCCAGGTCAAGAGAATGTGTCCATTTCGAAAGGAAGCCTGGCTCTATACAAGCTTCTGTGGGAAACCCCAGAGTTCCCACACACGACTGACATGAGACCACCTGGTCAAAGCCACATCGGCCCACAGGCTGTCCCTGTTTGTATGAAATGAGGCAATCACCTGTATTTCATCTTCAGTGGAAGAAATTCCTGGGGCCGCTCTCTCCATGCTTCAGGGATAAAAGGAGCCTTCGCCTCCCTTCCCGCCCTTGGCACACTCTCACCCAGTCTCGTCTGACCAACGTGGCAGGTCTCCTTGCCTCAGCTGGAGAGATGTGCCCATGGTGGGGGGACTGGTGAGTACCCAGAGCTTAGAGGCCCTCACACCTCTGCTTCCAAGGATCTAAGGCGGGCTTCACCTCAAAGAGGGGCTGGCTCGTGTCCTTGCCACTGATTCCCACATATGGCCCAAGCGTGTGCACCTGGGAAAACAGCCCAGACCATCCTCCCCAGGCTCCTGTCACAGACCTGCCTCATTTTGCACCTACCTGCCCTGGCGCAGCCGACCACGAGGGATTCACCACATTCTGGACCGACGGGAAATTATTTACCAACAGTGAATTCATCCACCACGCTTGCTGACAGGTATCCAGGTGGAACTTGGGCACTTCCCAGATGGGTCCCCAGGAAACAAGGGAGAACAAGCCGACCACAAAGCCCACTGAATACATGCGACAAGGCTGTAACCTGGCAAGAAAGAGCTGGACAAGAGATGGTGACTCCCCACAGCAGTTCCATTCAGTCCCTGGGTGGGTGCGTAGAGACGGGGGATAAGACCTCTGACACAGATTGGACTGGGTGGGCAACCCCCTCCCTGCCCACACCTCAAACATTCACACACTTGTGGGTTCAAAATCTTTTCTTGAGCACCCAGCACGTGCTGGCTCAGGTGCTGCTGATTCAAAAATCCTATTACTCACTGAGCAGGTCATGCGTGTCAGCCACTGTGCTAGGAGCTTTTAGATATTTCTCAGCCTCAAAATATTCCTGTCAGATAACTGCTACCTCTCTTTTACTGATGAGGAACTTATAGATCAGAGAGGTTTGGTAATTTGCCAAGGAGGCCCAGCTATGTAGCAGTCCTGAGATTAGACACCATTTCACGCTCTTTCCACGTGGCCCCCCTGGGTGAAAATATCTGTCCTCCCTCCATCCCTCTTTTCCTCCCCCAACTCTTGGCTTTAATTCTTCCTTCCTCCCTTCACCTCCTACCTCTTTTCACACAGGACTTGAAGCAGGTTCAAAGACGAGGAGTAAGGCACGAGGTGTCTAGTCCAGCGCTGTTCAACAGAACATCATTCAAGCCACAGCTGCCACCTAGTTTACAGTTTCTAGTAGCCACATTTTAAAAAGTCATAAGAAACAGATACATTTAATTTTGATGATATACTTCATTTAGATATCCACAACTTTGTCATTTCAACAGGTCACCAATATAAAAAATATTGAGCTATCTTATATTCTTTTTTTTCTTGTACTAAGTCTTTAGAATTTGGTATCTATTTTATACTTGGATCTCAGTGGGCCACATGTGTCTCGTGGCTACCTACTGGGCATCACTAGTCTAGAGTCTGGAAGTGAGGTCGTGTCAGGGAGGCATACACAATTCCAGCATGGATTCTGGGTGGGCTGCAATCACGGTCCTCTTGTAAAAGAGAACATTTAAAAATTCAGGGTAGTGCAACTAGAGCACGTGGCCCAGCTGTTGAACCTTAGAACATCTTGGTGGAGGCAGCAGGGCTGGGCAGCGACAGATGGAGGGCAGTCACTGGAGGTAACCCCCCAGCAGAGTCATGGTCAGCACCCTGCCTCTGGTCTGCACCCAAGACCCAGACCTGCCAGCCTCCTGTCCTCCCCACGATGATAACATCCTTTGTAGAGTGTCCATAGGCAGAAGGGTGCGGGGCATGCAGAGAGCAGGGCTGGAATTGCTGATCAAAGTCAGAGAGAAAGGGTGGCTGAATATGTTTCAGACAACAACCCAGAGCTCTCCCTGGGACCTGGTCCTGCCCCATTAGCCATCTGACCATGCTCCCTGCAGCTGCTCCCACAGGCCTTGGGCTCCCTCCTTCCTCCCTGGCCCCCTTCCCACCATCTGCTGCCTCCCCCTCTCCGGGGAGAGTAAGTCAGCCCCCTGCTCCCCTCGGAACCAGAGTGCAGGTCAGATGCTCTCAGGAGGGAAGATGGTGCAGGCAGCATATGCCCCCCACCCCCCACCCGCCAGTGCAGCTGGTGGGGTGGGGCAGAGTTTGCTGGGTGCAGCAGGCCTTGAAGAGCCAGGTGCAGAGATGTGAGTTCCACTTTTGTCTAAATTTGTCACCCGGAGAAAAATCATATAACTTGGCCCTTTCCTCTTCTATGGAAAAGGAGGGGTGATAATTCTCTAGATTTTTCTAAGGAAGAGGATGATTGCTGCCTCCTAAGCTTTCTGAGAATTAAATTAGATCAATAAGAAAGCAGTTCAAAACATTGAAAGCATCATATACATGTACATGTACTTCATTTTTGTCTAAAATTCCAGAAGATTTAAAGTCTAAGTGGACTTGCAAAGATTGAAAAGTGTGATGCCAGCCAGTTGTAGAGGTGTGAGAAGCAGGTGTTCTCATACTTGGTGGGTAGGAAGGCAAATTGGACAATGTCTATCAAAATGTTAAATACGCCACACCACCAATTCCACTTGTAGGAATTTACCCGCACAAACATGCTCATAAAACAGCACAAAAATGTTCATAAAATTGCACAAAAAGTGTATAGACATTGTATTATTGTCCAAGATTGTAAAAATTTGGAAATTACCTCCATGCTCAACAATGGAGACTGGTTAAATACCCACACAGCATCATTCCATGCAACCTTTAAAATTAGTGAGGTGGATCCTTGCATGCAAATAGAGAAAAATACCAAAATTAAATTATTAAGGGGAAAAAGCTACTTGTAAAACAGTGCAGCATGTAGTATAATTTTATTCATGGAAAAAAGAATCCAGAGCATATAAGTACATGGAAAGTGTCCTCATGAATTCACAAGAGACTGTTAACCAAGGTGACTGGTGGGGAGTGAGACTGGAAGGGGTACCTTCATTTAGTGTACAATCTTCTGATGTTATTAGACATTTTTATCAATAATTTTTTTCCCTATAAAAAGCATCTAATTTTAAAAAGGTGGTTCCTTGTTGATATAATCACGCTGTTTTAAGGGTCTAGAGCATTCGCTCTCCTCATTTCCCTAAATAATCTGCTCAGATTTACCCCTGAATCTGGGTTTTGCGTTTTCCTGGAGCTGTGACAGCTCCCACATGCTCTCCCAGCCTCTGCCCTGCCCACTTACAGACTGTCGCCACCCTCAGCCAGAGTGATTCTTGCAAAATGTCAATCTGGCCATGCCACTCCCCTTCTGGAATCCCGCAAAGGCTTCCTGTCTCAGAATAAAACGGAAGCCCTAAGGCAGCCCACAGACCAGATACATTCCCAGCCACCCACGCCCCACCCCACCTCTCTGACCTCAGTCCCTGCTGTTCTTCGAGTTGCTCTCTCCACCCCAGTACCTTTGGCCTGAGGTTCTTCACACACAGCAACCATGCTCTCTCCTCAAGACCCCTGCACGGGGTCCCACGCACCAACCCTTCTTCCCTTAGAGCATTTTCTTTGCTTAGAACATTTTTTTACTTCCTTCAAGGTTCTCAACATACATCACCTTCCCTAACTACCTTTGCAGAGGAAGACCCTGTCTTGTTTCCTTCTCTGAGCTGTCTAGTGACTGTGGTGCTTATCATCACTGGCCTATTAGAAACTTATTTGCATATTGCAACTTAATGTTGCGTATTTATTTGCTTATTGTCCATCTCTGTTCACTAGAATACAACCAACCCCAGAAGATACTTGTATAGTTATTAACTGCTGAATCCTCAAGGCTTAGGATGGTGCCTGGCACACAGTGGGCCCTCAACAAATATAGAAAGAGTGAATGAACAAATGATCTTACTTCCAGTCCTCTTGGAGGCAAGTAGACAAGTAATAAATCATAATTAATAACAGTGAGTTTTGCCAGCATGAAAGAGCACGTCAAAATGGCTAGGACCATCGCTGCTTCTGCACTGGGTTACCTTAAAGAGGGCAAATACAAACTGTGGGTTAATCATGCTTCCCTGCCCCGAATTTTTCAACAGAGTTTTGTCCCAGGTTGGACTCATCTCCCAGAATCCCCTATCTCAAGAATGTCACAACCACTTGCCTTGTAGCACAGGCCGGAAAATGTGAATGGCCTTGACTTGCTCTCTCTCTCTTCCCACTGCCAGTCACCAGCCCAAATCCTGCTTTCCCACCCAGACAGTGCAGTACATTGCTCACTGGGATCCTTGCTACCATCTTGCCCGGTAAGGCCTCCCCACCACCTCACCGCACCCTGTCTCTCCCTGTCCCCACTACCACTTTATCTGCCTGGTGAGACACCCGTTCGGCTGCTCTTCAATCCCCAGCTTCAGGAATTTTCTTCTGAAGTAAGTTTCCCAGGTAGAACCCACCCAGCCATGGGGTGCAAATAGAGAAAAATACCAAAATTAAATTATTAAGGGGAAAAAGCTACTTGTAAAACAGTGCAGCATGTAGTATAATTTTATTCATGGAAAAAAGAATCCAGAGCATATAAGTACATGGAAAGTGTCCTCATGAATTCACAAGAGACTGTTAACCAAGGTGACTGGTGGGGAGTGAGACTGGAAGGGGTACCTTCATTTAGTGTACAATCTTCTGATGTTATTAGACATTTTTATCAATAATTTTTTTCCCTATAAAAAGCATCTAATTTTAAAAAGGTGGTTCCTTGTTGATATAATCACGCTGTTTTAAGGGTCTAGAGCATTCGCTCTCCTCATTTCCCTAAATAATCTGCTCAGATTTACCCCTGAATCTGGGTTTTGCGTTTTCCTGGAGCTGTGACAGCTCCCACATGCTCTCCCAGCCTCTGCCCTGCCCACTTACAGACTGTCGCCACCCTCAGCCAGAGTGATTCTTGCAAAATGTCAATCTGGCCATGCCACTCCCCTTCTGGAATCCCGCAAAGGCTTCCTGTCTCAGAATAAAACGGAAGCCCTAAGGCAGCCCACAGACCAGATACATTCCCAGCCACCCACGCCCCACCCCACCTCTCTGACCTCAGTCCCTGCTGTTCTTCGAGTTGCTCTCTCCACCCCAGTACCTTTGGCCTGAGGTTCTTCACACACAGCAACCATGCTCTCTCCTCAAGACCCCTGCACGGGGTCCCACGCACCAACCCTTCTTCCCTTAGAGCATTTTCTTTGCTTAGAACATTTTTTTACTTCCTTCAAGGTTCTCAACATACATCACCTTCCCTAACTACCTTTGCAGAGGAAGACCCTGTCTTGTTTCCTTCTCTGAGCTGTCTAGTGACTGTGGTGCTTATCATCACTGGCCTATTAGAAACTTATTTGCATATTGCAACTTAATGTTGCGTATTTATTTGCTTATTGTCCATCTCTGTTCACTAGAATACAACCAACCCCAGAAGATACTTGTATAGTTATTAACTGCTGAATCCTCAAGGCTTAGGATGGTGCCTGGCACACAGTGGGCCCTCAACAAATATAGAAAGAGTGAATGAACAAATGATCTTACTTCCAGTCCTCTTGGAGGCAAGTAGACAAGTAATAAATCATAATTAATAACAGTGAGTTTTGCCAGCATGAAAGAGCACGTCAAAATGGCTAGGACCATCGCTGCTTCTGCACTGGGTTACCTTAAAGAGGGCAAATACAAACTGTGGGTTAATCATGCTTCCCTGCCCCGAATTTTTCAACAGAGTTTTGTCCCAGGTTGGACTCATCTCCCAGAATCCCCTATCTCAAGAATGTCACAACCACTTGCCTTGTAGCACAGGCCGGAAAATGTGAATGGCCTTGACTTGCTCTCTCTCTCTTCCCACTGCCAGTCACCAGCCCAAATCCTGCTTTCCCACCCAGACAGTGCAGTACATTGCTCACTGGGATCCTTGCTACCATCTTGCCCGGTAAGGCCTCCCCACCACCTCACCGCACCCTGTCTCTCCCTGTCCCCACTACCACTTTATCTGCCTGGTGAGACACCCGTTCGGCTGCTCTTCAATCCCCAGCTTCAGGAATTTTCTTCTGAAGTAAGTTTCCCAGGTAGAACCCACCCAGCCATGGGGTCCCTAACAACCCACCTTAGCATTATCACTAAGAACCCTTGGCCTGAATGCCAGTCCCTCTCTTCCAGGAGGCCACGGTGCAGAATAGACCCTTTAACTGCATGCCGCATGCCCAAAAGATATTGAAAAACTGAGCATTCTGTCAAACATTCGGGAAGAGGACTAGACTGAATGGAGTTGGAAGAAAGCACAAAGGCCATGGTGAAAAGAAGTCAACAAAGGTCTATTCCTCAGCTCATAGTCATTCTTAACCTATTTACAGGAAGAGTTAAAATGTATAAATAACAACAGTAATAATGATACTTTTGAGAGCTTACTATGGGTCACACATTTTAGAAATTCTTTGCACACATTATCTCACTTATTCTCACAAGGGCCCAATGAAGTGAGTCCCATTATTCCCCCCATTTTTCAGGTGAGAAAATTCAAGCACAGAATGGTTGAGACACTTACTCAAGGTCACACAGCTGGTGGATGATTGAGCCAGAACACAAGCCCAGGCAGACAAACCACAGAGTCAGGGCTTGCACACTCCATTTTACTAGCCCAGAAGAGTGTTTCGACCCTCCCCTCTCTGTTTCATGACAGTGCAGTGTAACAAAAGAGGCATGGACCGTAAGTACTGAACACTGGGTCCCAGCTCAGCAGCAAACCAAGACTTAGAAAATGTATAAATGATACATTTGGGTTATGTGAGCTGAAGTGTCCTTTTCTTCCTAACCTTCGACTGTCTTATTGCATCACTGCCACTCTGATATCCCACTTCTCCCATATTCTGTCGCAGGACTGTATGCCCTTCTGCTTCAACCAACCTCACATTCATAAACAGACCCCCACCCTTCCTCCTCCCTCTCAGCAGAACAACTGTCCCAAGCTTCAACTAGCCCCTCTCCTGCCTGTAACTTACTTAATTTTTCTCATTATCATTACTACTCTTATTCATAGGAACCAATTACTATGAATTTTCAGGAGCCATACAAATTCTGTGTTGAACACGGATTCCACAGGAATCTGCCAGTACATTTATTGAAACCTGTTACCCATCAGCTGAGATATAAGGATGCGTTTGCTGTTTTAATATTGTTCAAATTCTATTAGGTCAAATATCAAGAAAAGTGGTACCTTCCACCGGCAAAAGTCATTAAACCAGCAAAAATTAAATGTACTTACAGAAGAAAATGATACCTCTCAGTTTAGTTTTCTTGGAAAATTATTTCAAAAGAGGGTTAAAGACTGAATATAATAAATTATTATACAGTAATAAGGATTTGAGAAATTATACAAATAAGCCTACCTTGTAAGAAGACTGAAAAATATCTGAGTATGACATTAGGGTTATTCCTTTGTCTGAGTTCTGATGCATCTTTAAAAACGATCTTGCACTTAACCAGCCACTGAGAGAAAGAGAAAAATAGTCACAGGAATCACATGTCAGTGATGCAGCTCACGGGTTGACCTATTTGGCTGTCTCTGCGAGGACAATAGTCTTCTTCTTGCCCGTGCTACATGCCCATGGCCAGTTGTCTTGGGCTCTTTCTCACTCTGGCACCCAAGCTGAAAGAGTAGCCACTACCTGAAAATTCCCCAAAGACCATGGCAGGGATAACAGAGTTCTGGAGGGCCTGAAGCCATCAATTCAGTGCTCTGGCCCAGAAGTGACATGTGTAAAGTGGGGCCAGGAAGTGAACTGCTACTGAGTGCCCGGAGGGCGCAGAGCCGGAAGTATCTGCTGAACAACACTGATGACGACCACATCGACTTGTGAGAGAATGATGTCGAGGCCTTAGTTTCTGCAGCGCCACAGTACTTCACGAACGGTGTTGCTTTTTCTTTTCCAGCATTCCAAACTACACTCTGAAAAATGTTTTTTGAGTGAATGATCACACAGATAAATAAACAGCCTTATTAGGTCATAGAATCTGGACCCGAGTACCACCTTTCGAATAAGCCCACCCACCATCACAGAGAGACCTAGGTGTCGTCTTACCTAGGCTACAAGCATCCTCCAGAGGACACATCAGCAAGTCACTTTCATTAGGGAAAAGGGCAGATATTACAATTCCTGCTTACCTAATCAGGAAGTTGGGGCTCAAAGACTCAGTGGACTGCCAAAAGTCTCATGAGAATTCTCATCCAGTGTTGAGGTGACTATGTCCTAATGACAAACTTACTACCCAGAAAGTTCAGCTAAAGAAGCTGAGGCAATATCTTCGAGTTATAACTTGATGGTAAGCAAGTTTGTAAGCACGTTTCCCAATCTTTTGACCTTTATACCAATGATCCTGTGGGTATTTCCCTAAGGAACAAATTATTTCTGATTAAAAAAGAAGGTGGTGGATATGTTGTGCAGGACTTGGAAGGGTGACGGAGGGTTGGGGAATATTTTTATTCCCTGACAGCAAGATTTTCTTTTGAAAGGCAACAAGTTGGATTCACTATAATAAGAACATAATTTATAGAGACATGTGAAAGAGAGCCCTGAGATGCGGAAGCAGGACAGCCAATTCTGGTTCCAGCTTCCTCTGAATTTTAGGAAAGAATGAATCATGTCTCACTCTATGTGCAGGCATGTACCATCCAGCCTTGGAGTTCATAAAGAGGATAAAGAGAGAGGCTGGCAGGAAAACAGGCTCTGAGGAAAAGAACTGGTTGTAAGAAGATCCAGAGACCTGAGCAGCCTAGGAAAGAGTAAAATCCTGCAATAGAGATGTATGAAGTCAACCCGAGAGGTAGGGAAGGATTCCAAAACCGTCTCCAGTAATAATCAGAAGTCTTCAATCTTACTGTGTAAATACATGAGGGATACAGTGGTTAAGACATGGTTTGGGCACAAAACATTATATTTCAGTTTTAGTTCTAACTTTCCTAGGTGGGAGGACTTGGGTAAGTTATTTCATCTCTGAGCATCAAGTTTGTCATCTAATTAAAATGGGCACGATACTGGCTCTAAATGTATAGGTTTATTGTGAGCATTGTATGGGATAAAAGATTTAAAGCTCTTAGGAATGAGGTCAATAGTTCTGTAATGTTTTACTATGTTGACAGTAACTACACCAGTTGGGGTGAGCATTTAATAACGTAGATAAGGGTTGAATCACTGTGTTGTATACTGGAAACCAATATAATATTGAACATCAACTCTGTGTCGATTAAAAAAAGATTTTAAGCTCTTAGCATAATAGCAATGCTAGGTAGCACTGTTGCTAATATTTATTTTTTTTAATTGAAGTATAGTTGATATACAATCATACTGGTTTCAAGTATAAAGTAATATTTCTGTTGTAATTTTATTCAAAAGAATATATACACTTTTTAAAGTAATAAAATGTAAACTGAAAGGATAAAAAAACAGTTACCTAGACTGGCAATGTGACACAAAAGCAAATAGGGATAAAGAAAAAAGAAATACATGTCTTGATCTCTTAGACTCTGTCAGGATACGCTGGCTTCCACTATGCCATCCTCAGCTCCTCACACCTGGGCTCACCTGGTGGTTCTCAGACTTTAGCAGCATCACCTGGCGGGCTGCTTACAGCCCCAAGTGTCTGATGCGTTGGGCTGAGAATGGGGCCATAGAAATTTGCATTTCTAGCAAGCTTCCAGATGTTGCTGATACAACTGCTTGGGGACCATGCTCTGAGGACCCAGGGTAAAAGGCATATATGCCCCAGGCTCCAGAATGAACCAGGTGTCAGGTATGCAGTTTTTACAACAAAGGAGGCAGGTATTTGTAGTTGTCTTGCACATCTGGAATTTCAAGAACCTTGGCCTGTGTTTTGGATCGCTCAGGGCTGACCCAGTGGATTCTCTGGTGTCTCAGATTCCCACTGGTGGCCCAGGGACGATCAGCAGCCTTTCATGCCCTTCATTCTTCCCTGCTCATGGAAACTGTCCAGCCTGAGTTCCGGCCTTGGTTCCAGGCATCCTGATCTGTCCTTGCCAGCCTCCCTCTAGGGCTCGGAGCTCTGCCAGTCAGTCCCATCAGCATATGGTGCCTTTTTCTGCCTTGCAGGGAACTGAGTTCTGGTCTTGGACTGTTGTCTTGTGGGCAGACCTCCCTACCCTCCAGGGGCCTGCCCCACATGTCCCTTGTCCGCCTGGTTAGACCCAGCCACGCCCTCTTGGAAATTCTGGTACCCAGTGGTCCCATATCACTGCTGAGTTCACTACAGAGGGTGGACTCTGACCCTTGCCTGCCTGTGCTACTCTCTATTGTCATCCTGGCCACCTCCTAGCATGAGCTGCTGCCTTAGCGGACAGGTCTCAGCTCATTCTGTACCTATTTTCTTTGCATCTCCCAAAGGACCTGTCACATCAGAGTCTTAAGATAAAGCAATTAATAAATCATTTCAGCAACTACTTACCCAGCAGTACCCCATGCCTAGCAATGCATTAGGCGCTAAAAAGCACAACACTGACAGCAAGACGCCAAACAGGAAAAAAAAACCCTGCTTTATGTTCCAGTGGTGAGAGACAGATAATAAACATATAAATAATAAATATGTAGCATATATAGATAAAGAGATAAAGAGAAAAAGTCAATCAGGAAAAATGAAACAGAGAGTGCTAGTGGGTCTATTTTAAATAGGGCAACAAGGATAGCCTTCCCGGGAAGGTGACATTGGAGCAAAACCCTGCAGGACAGGGAGCCACCACCAGGATAGCAGGGAGATAAGGAAGTGTTGCAGAAAATGGGTGGTTATTAGTAACCCCAACTATCGCTCTGCCCTGTTTGGGAGCTAGGGCTCTGCTAATCCAGTGGTTCATACTTGTGAAGTTCATGGACTTGCAAGATTGTTTTAAAAGTAGGGGCACTTCTCAGAAGCTTGGCCAGCAACAATCTCTCCAGCATCCATAGGTTTGTCCCCTCCTCTTCAGCCACTCCCAGCTTG